CTTTTATTTAAAGCACTTTTTATTTCTACTATATATAACTAGAACTTCATATGCCAGAGAGTCTTCTCGTTCAGGTTTTGCTTCAAGAAGACATCTATAAAATAATTTAAATTTTTTATAACAAATTCACAAGCATTATTAGCAATCAAAAAACTAATTAAGACGATCATAAAATATTAAATATTTTAGTGTGAATAACCGATTTTAAGTGAATTCTTCAATGCTGCAAAAATCCCAAGGTGAAAGAAAGTTTCAATCTCAAAGCAATGCATATGCTGCGACACAAGAATTTAAATTAGAATCTGTATATATAAATTATATATTTAATACAGTTAGAAAGAGTGTCTTAACTGTTCTTTTAAATGAATACATTTCAGTTAGAAAGCATTGATTAATTTGGCTGCTTAGAGAATCATTTTTTATTAGCGTTTACTTAAATGTTTCTTATTCATTCGCTTGATCTTATTGCCTTGAATGTCAATTCAATTCAAAGCTAATCTATATCCCCGATATTCGTGATCGAGAATAAAAACATATTATGTGAGATAACGAGTGAAAAATGTTGAGCTAAGTTAAGCAATTAACTATCGTAATGCGAGTCTTGAGATCCCTTTTATATAAGGCCGGGCCATCGTTTGGTTTTATTAAACGAAAGCCTTCACGACCCCTTTGTTACAAAAAGACCATACAGTACAGAGTTTAGTGAGGGCAATGCACGGGTATGCCTTCGCTGTGTCTCCTTATGAAAATAGATTGCTTTCTTTTAGCCTTACCGTCTCACATGAGAAATGTGCACTTATCTTTAGTGTTTCCTACTTCCCAATTAACATAATATTATTCAAGGTCGCGAAACGTTTCTCTAGGAACTTTATGCAGATATAATTACCTGCTCCGAGTCCTTTGGAAAACCCTAAATATTATTTGCAATGTTAATCGCGGATTTTTAACATTCTATCAACTCAACTCTTATATATATATGCGCGCGCTTTGCCCATATTTCGTATCGAAATTAATTTTTAATCTTAATATCGTCTAGGGGTCAAACTGTACTACTTTTTCATTATTATCGGCTTTTGCGTGTTTGTATCGGTTTAGGAGTAGAGCCTCCTTACAAGATGAAATTTATTTTCAAGACTCAATTGAATTCGTCTCTTAATTCGGCTCTAAGTAACTAATCAACTAGGTAAGGGCTGTTAAAAGAAGCTCGCTTCAATACTATGTTATCTTTTTTATATTCCGTTAACCTGAAAAGTCGGAATGATAATGCCATCAGTTTGCACACTTTAAAACAATTCCAAAGTGTTTTTGTCCATTGCCAGAATATTATGAAAAATAATTAGCCACAATCCCAGACAAGTTAACTATTATTGTGTAGCATAGATAATCAATTCAAAAGAATTGATATTTAGATATTAAAGAATTTGGGTTTTAACAAACACTTCTTGGAACTTTTGAAAACCATGCCAGAGTGACATGTTATGGAAACGTAGCCGTACTTTTATATAACTGCAATCTACCGTTAGACCATAAGTGGAACGCGCATGTTATTCATTCTTAAAACGCTATAGAGTTCCATATGGCATTGGTTTTCGATTTAGTCTAACATACCTGAAGTTTTAAACAAAATTGAAATATGAATGAAATATGAAATGAATCAATAGAGAAAAAAAAAAAAATGTTGAGATTAAATTTCATTTCAGGAATGTTTGACGAAATTAATGCGACGTTTGTAGCGGCGGGTCAATAAAGAGTTTCAACGGGAAGTGCCGGCATGGCGTTGAAGATCCAAAACTATTTTCGTTTGAGAGCACAATTTAGGTATGCACATGGAAAACCCTTTTGCGGCTAATACCGCCTAGACATTGCAGCCATTTATTGGTTTACAGAGTCGTCTGCATGTATCAGTTATTGATTGGTTTCAAGCAACGCAGACAATGAGTTGCACAATTTAGGGAACACTGTGTGCAATAGTATATTATAAGCATACATTGGTGGCGACTATAGCTCGGCTGTCCGTACTGGTGCGCCGTCGCGAAATGATTAAGAGTTTTACAGTCAACGATGAATGTTTACATTCGGATTAATTTCTCCTTCAATTTCACAATACTCGATAAACATAATTAAAGTTTCTAAATTTGCATATGGTAACGCTATTAAAAACCGGTTGACATTCTTGAGGAAGTTGAACATTGTCGCATCATATTTCGATTGGAAGTCATCTTGTCCTTGTCACCTCTCACTTATTGACATAAAAGTTTACACGAAATTCTCAAATAAATATAGACACGAGATATTTAAAATCAAAATAGTTTTGATGAACAATTGTTATTATTTTCATTTTGTCAACAACAAAAAAAGATATTTTACTGTTCAAGTGTTAAATTTAATGTTGGTTTAATCTTTTGTTCGCCGTCGGTGCAGAGTTAAACCATCGACTGTACAATTCCCAACTTGCACACCCACCCCAGGCTGTACAACATTCCATAAGCAATTAAAAAAAGGTCAATTTATTAAATAATAAATAAAAACTTTATATTGGGTCACAACACGCCATTGAATACCCTGCACCCGCTTAATACAATTACGATTTCTTTTAAAAAGTCGTTATATGAGAAGTGCTGCGAAAAACTGATCCGATCCGAACCATTTTCGTTAGCGTTCATTCTTGCGCAAGAGGAACGTCTTTGCATAAAATTGCATCAAAGTGTTTCAAAAATTGTGACCTTTACGCTGAGCACAAGGATACAAGGCAAGTCTAGATGGAGAGATGGGAAGCCAAGCTCCAAAATCGATTCACAAAGTGATTCTATGTTATTTCAAGCCCTTTTGCATGGCTGTTCGACAAGTGGCAGTAGCGTATAAAAATATTGAAACATTTTTCAATTTATCTCCTTTTAATTTTATAAGATAAAAGAGAAGAAGAGAATATTATAAGAAGAAGAGAATATTATAGTAATGCAAATGAGTAGATACCGTTAAAAGGTGTTTAACTTTGATATTTTTTCAAAGCTGGTGGAAAATTAAAAAAATATGCAAAAAAATTTTTTGCTCTAGAAGTCCGGCAGTTATTTAAGTCTTAGCCTCGCATATGTTACTGGCCTTATTCTATGTCTCCATAATTCCCATTGATATTATTGACAACTATGTTAGGTTGGAAGAAGCTAAAGCTGAAGGTAAATTTTCAAATAAATAGGTTTGCGGTGAATAGGAGGAGGAGGTGGGAAGATTTTGATCGCATTCCTTTCGATACCGAACTATAAAGAGATATTAATGAATATCAGGGAATACTGGTTAACAGCCCGGAGACGTGGATCTATTCTACAATCGCCTATATAAGAAGAATTCATATGGTATCGAAGCCTTGCTTCTAACCTGTCAAAGTGCCAAGACGCTATCGATTCAGGCAGCGACAAGAAATATTTGCGATGAGTCATGTGATTTACTTGTTTCGCTATTGCCCTGAACAGTTTTGTGAATGCGTAACGTGGCACCGTATTTTATATTTTGAATAGGACGGCCACGTTTTCAGGTAACTTATTCCATTATGACGAAGCATAGGTCAAACGACACTTCAAAATGAAAATCAAAGGTTGATTAAGTTTTCGCCGAATTCAATAGATGACTGCATTTTATGCAAATGTTTGCAGTGTTGCCAAAAGACAGCTTCAGACACCGTGTACTTACCCTGTGCATATTCTTATTCAGCATCAATTCGAAATCAATCCAACCATGTCCATCTATCCGCTTATCCGTCTGTGTAATCTCTGTGGTGAATATTCTCTTGGTCTGCACAACTACAATTGTAATAACGGTTTCAATTATACCAAAACTGTGCAAGCCATTTCACGCTGGCTACGCCTATAGTAGCACGTGGGCTGCTTTTTGAATTTTTTCCTCCTTACTCGCTTTAATCTAGTTTCTATGTTTATGTAATGTACAGTTATGCGAAAATGCAAAAAAATCGACCACGCCCATCGAACTAAAAAATATCAAATTCATATCAAGTCAACGCTTTTATTTCTGAAAAGTTCAATTATAACGGGATATATGCTTCTTCTTCGCTCTCACTTGTAATGACTTTACTTTGTTAATAATTTTTATCGTATTTGCAGGCGAAACTTACCCACTGTAGTTTTCGTCGACTAACCTTTAATTTTCGAAGATTGTTTTCACTTGAAAAAAACTTGCACTAAGTGACCGACATTGTCAAATCGCAAATCCATTCTAGAAAATTAGTTGCAATTTTTTTAATACAAGTCTTCCGATCTTGTTCTACTTATTTGTTTATTTCTTATTTATTTATTTATTTTTTTTTTTTAATTTTTCTCTCAAAACACTTAATAACCCATCAGCTATCATAAATTCTTGATAACCTAGAATGAATGCAAATTAAGTGGCAGTGTTTAATCAAATTGTGACACATCACCTTGTAACGGCAGAAGAACTCTTATAATTAACACAAGACATCAAATTTAATAATGAATAACAAACGACCCTTTCTCGATTCATACTCTGCAAGCCCATGAGCTTGGTCATGTCTTTGCATGAGGCGGTTTGTCGTGTTTCTTCATGTATATATGAAACATCAAAAAGAGAAAACAAATACAAAAAAAAAAAAAAGAAAAAGAAAAAAAAACCTATCAAAGACATTACGTAAGGGACTGTGTTTTTTTTTTTTCAATATTTTCTTTCTTTTCAATACATGTATAAATAAACTTTATTTGTTTTTAGTAGAAATAAAACAAAAAAAAACGAAAATAAATAAATAAAAATAAAACCCGTCCTACAGGCTCTTATTTATTTATTATATTAACTTGAAATATTTTTTCTGAATATTTAAAAATATGAATCATTGAGATCTATGCATGACGGTGAGGAAAAGAAGAGAAGTTTTTTTTTTTTTTTTATTATTACAAGAAACTAAAGAGAGAAAAAGAAATGAAAGAAAAACAAAATGTTGCATTAATTATTAATAAAATATTTTTTATATATTTGCATAGATTGTCCGAACTGTGTGGACGAAGTGCATTATATGAATAAATGGACAATGCCTTTATTAAAGCTGGGCGAGAAGCGTTACTATCTTGGTATCTTCTTCAAGGTAAGCGACATTCCGTTGTGGTAAAACTACAATTTACAATAAATTGAATGCATAAACAAAAAAAACATAAAAATAATAATAATAATGAAGAAAAAAAAAAGTGAACAAGTAAGAAAATTATATTCGATTGTAACCGAATCTATTACACCCATCACCGTTACTTCAACGAAAGATTGAGAAAAAAAAGAAAAATATAAATTTCCATAACCCATAACATGCCATACTATGGGCGTTACGGATTTTTGATATTCTCGTAGAATAACTTTATGGAAATTGATATCGTGTATCTGTTGTGCTTTATTATAAGCAATAAGCAAAAGACCCGGAAAGCAAGGAAGCTTTGGTTAGTTGATTGGTATAAACGTGTTCATCTGCTTGCGCAAGTCTTCCAAGTCTTTTGCAAATTTGCAGCTAATATCCTCTTTTGTGCGGACAGGAAAATGTATACCGCAGACACTACACAGTATGTGGCAGACGGACAAAGGCATCGACTGCAAGAATTTATAAATGTTGTGACGCTTTTTTCCGCGTTGTATAGGAAAAAATTATACTTTGATATACGATAATATTGGGTAGACGGGGTCGATTTTTCCCAGTATTATACTAGCGCTACTGCATCACATCATAGAATACATTTTAAAATTTGTTTACATTTATTTGCTGTAATCGATGAGTAGTGATCAAAAAATCAATTTTTTATTCCTTATAAAAAACAAAAGTATTTTCAATTTACGTGGTACTGTGGGCGTGTCCTTCGACGGTTTTGGTTTCATTTCAACATAAACTTGCATGAGAGGACTTTCAATGTTTCTGTCAAATTTAAAACCGATTGCCACATTTTCGGAATCAAGAGAGTGTTTGCAACAGACATTAGACAGACGGAAAGACGGACAGATGGGCAGACGGCCAGAGGGATATACTTAAATCGATTCAGAATTTAATGCTGATCGAGAATATTGTATATTCTATTCAGTCCGTGCAGCTTCATCATCCTGAGCGTTGCAAATGTTGCGACAAAACGAATATATCCCTCATCCTACAAGCAAATTAACAAGTAATAACATACAAGAGGCTATACCATAAGTAGGTAGCTTTTGAACAAGTATAAAAGATGAACTGCTGAATGATCTCTTAATACGCGCTGTGAGAATGCAATTTTTTTCCTATAAATTTATTACAAATAATTAAAATTCATATAACAATGAAAGTAAACTATTATGTAAATGAGAAAAAAAAAAAGAAAAAAAAAAAAAACAAATAAACAAACAAGAGAAAGTTATATTCTTTTTTGTCTACGGGCGAGTCCGAGTACGAGAATTCCACAACTTGCCATTTATTGAGAGCCCTTCGACTACAAATATTTCTGCATCGAGCTCGTAGAGTTTTAAGTCAATAATTGCACTAAGTAGTAAGTGTAAGTTCTTGCAACTTTGTACTGGTTTAATTTTTTATGCTTTCAGCCATTATAAGCGTTTATGCTCGTTTATGACCATAAGTGATATGCGCCAGATTTCAACTTTTCATGACATGTTAAACTGCAGCAGCTTATCAGCAAAACAAATAAAAAAAATTGCAGATAAGTTAATTAAAAAACTTATGTAAGATATAAATAATAATAATTAGTAAAAAATAGTGCAGAAGTAAACATCGAATGTGTGCATTAAATTTCAACTTTCCATCTTAAGTGCCCCAATGTTTACAATTATTACTTGTCGGAATTGGATGCACTCATAGAAAGTTCCGGACGCTTGCTTGTCTCTTAGTTCTGCTATACATAGCTTTATCGTCGGGTGTATATCAAAGTGTAAAGAGTTGGATGTCACTTGGCAGTATAAGTGTAAAGAAAAAAAAAAAAATTTTTTTTTATTAACTTGACTGAAACAGTTCGAAAGAGCTTTGCGAGATTTCGTGCAAAAAAAAACTTCAGTCTTTAAGATGATAAGCGCTTTGAAGCTTCGCGGAAGACGTTGAATAAAAAATTCACGAATTACTGGAAAGAAATCAAACAAGTACAAATGCGCTTGCTACGCTTGCTAGTTGAGGGGAAAACAATTAGTATTTTTAGTTCGATTGCATGCTATGGAACAGGTGCGGGAAGTAGGAAAATGGATTCCTCGTGACAGACACAAGAGAAACACGATCATTATTAATTGGGTAAAGGAGTTGATTCAGGACAGGAATCATGTGCTCTTAGCCGTTTACTGAGATTGGAAAGGAATTATCTAAATTGTTGCATTTAAGCCATATCAACCGTTTACGGGCAAAGGAATTCGAAAAGCGATTTTGACAGCGCCCGTTCACATGCAGCAAAAGCCACAAAGGAAAGGAAAGAATCTTCAATTTGGGCTGAAAACTTTTTCCTCGCTTGCGAGTTATTGTCTAGATCCTCTAGATTTCTCCTAATTACCACGCGTTCAGATCGACGCCTATTTCGTCTTGACACCATCAAGTTTCTACCGCGAGTGCATTCGTAGGCTGACCGATAACAAGTAAATTCGAATTTTGTTAACTATGGTTACAGTGGGCCACGGTCCACAGTAAATACACCTACGCCACTTTACAATTATTTAAACAAGGACTTCTCAAAATAAGGCCTGGAAAGTAGTCGAAAAAGTGTTCCAAAGCAAATAATTTCCCAAAGCGTTTGTCCGACGAATTTTCTCAAACTATCTGTAGATTATACATAAGACAGGCAGATCGATTTAGAAAGCGATCCTGAATCGATCAATATATTAAAAAAAAAAGACGGGTACAAATCAGACGCTTCTGCTCTATTAGATATTTCCTTATTTTGTCTATAAGTACTTTTAAAGGCTGCTAGTTAGGAGAGCCTAAACTTAGGCTTAGGTGGAATTTACAGCACTGGTAGACACAAATATTTATCTGCTACTTCTCACTTCGTACATGAATACAGATGATATGTCTTATCGCAACGATATACTATGCGATATATTCGGGGCCTTTTATCGAAAATCGTTTCGATTTTTTTTTTTTTTTTCATAATTTCTAGCTAAAGTAAACGTAGATAACGAGTATCGAAGCTTGAGCATACGTTACTGAAAGCGAGGCGCAAGCTGGACAGCTCACGATTTATTGCACTCAATTCTATTTTGCATATACACATACAGAGAGGTAGAGGTTTCCTATTCGTATTGATTGGCACGAGGGAAACCCCGACTTTTTTAATTCTTTTTCAAATTTTCTTCTTTGCAATCCAATTACAATTTGTTTGGTATCTGATCTATTGTCTCTGATATGGAATTTCGTAAAAACAATGTACAATTGGAGGGAAACGGAGAGAGAGAGAGAGAGAGAGAGAGAGAGAGAGTTAAAGATATTGATATCAGTATTAGAAAATATTTTTAATAGATATATATATCTATAATAAAAATGGTTTTTTTTTTTTTTTTTTTTTTTTTTTTTGTATAAATTGAGATAATATTTATGCTACCTTGTGCCACTTGTGTTGTGAAGTGTATTGTGTGAAGCGAGGAAATGTAAGACAAAATTAATTCCATAATTAAAAATGATTTTGAAGTTCATGGTCACTGATATTTAGATTCGATTTTGTTTTTTTTTTTTTTTTCTTTGCATTTAATGTGTTTATTATATTTATTTATTTTTTGTTTTTATCTGCACATGCCAAGAACTATAATATTAATCACCAGTAAACCAAATAATTAAAACCAGATTCCATTTATAACAAGATTTCTTTGAAAGGTACACGTAACGTAGCTATCGTTTATATCTCTTTAGAAAAGATTATCAGATTTGTTAAAAAAAAAAACAATTTCTAAGAAATTTTAGCACATGTTAAATAAAAATTTAAAAAAATATATATAAGAAGTTTTTTGTGCAGTAAAACCAGTCGGTTTGGACTTGGGTGAAAAAATTTTTCATTTCACTTCCAATCACCATAACAAAAACTTTTCTTTCCAATTTTCATTTGCTGGTATGACGCTAAACACGAAATAAAATTTTGTGAAAACAATTTGTTTGTTTGTGTGTGCATCTGTGTGTGGGTGTGTTTTATTTTTTTTTATTTTTATTTTTTTTTTTTATTACTTCAGTTATTTCTTTCAGTGCATCTTACCTTGATAATGAATTGATTTATAATTTAAATATAAAGAGCATGCTTTCTGCGCCGCATTTGCCTTTGCATGCATAAGTAAAGTAAACACGTATTTATTACATAAATATTTCCATAAATATCGCACTTAAATTTTGTAAATGTTTATTCGTGGTTTTGCAATTACAAGCAAAACAAAATAAACAAATCTTGCAGTAGTTAGAGGACGAGACTTTTTTCTTTCTTTTCACTTACTCATCACCGAAGGATGAGAGGTATATTCATTTTGTTAAAACGTTTGCAACGGCCAGAAGGAAGCTTCGAAAACTCCATGAAGTATATATATTCTCGATCAGCATCAAATTCTGTGTTGATTTAAACATGTCCGTCTGTCATTCTCCTCATCGAAGCAATGGAACTCTATGGAACTCAAATTTGACAGAAACTTTAGAAGCCCTTGCATCTACGTTGATATTGAAAATGGATCAAATCGGTTAAAGGACACGTCGCCAGTACCTCGTACACTGACAACATCTTCGTTTCCCGAAAAGAAATATGAAAAATGCATTTTTTAGCTCATTACTCATAAATTATAGGAAACGAATGTACAAAAATTCTGTGGGCGACGCTATAGTATTCCTACAAAAATGCAAAAAATCGACCACGCCTGCCCAATGTTATAGTGTATAAAATTTAATGTATTTTTTTTTTTAATATCTTTATAAGACGCAGAAATCACATCAAGCACATAAATTACTTCAAATTAGGAATGCACTCAAACCTGTCCGCCTGTTCATCTGTCTGTCTGCGCAATTGTGTAGTGTCCGTGGGAACGATTCTCTATAATTAGCAAAAATGATGATATCGTCAACAAATTCGCAAAAGAAGTTGAAGGTGACGTAAACTTTTTTATGGACATGCTTATAACGCC